ATGAAAACATGTATGCACATAATGACCATTTATGGCGATTTCACCCCACCGATGCCTTTATTTCCCATACAATACTGACCCAAGGAAGCGCGTCAAATAAAGTGTGCCATCTCCTATATTTTAACCACCCCGTTTAAAGGTTCAGAGAAAACATTAAGGGATAGTATATGTGCAGATAGCTCTGAATGTTTGTTAACTCCGAAGGCAACGCTACACCTTACATGCACTTTATGACCATCTTATTCCTTTCGGATACACAGATGAAATTATAATAAATAACGCACATGAAAAATAAATATGGAACGTATGAAAGCTGACATTAAAACTGTTGGTTTCTATTTTAAAGCTCAAACTTGTGAGCCTATCGGTTTAACTCACTAATCTGCTCTCATCGTATAATTAGAAAAATAATCCGGAGTTGGGGTACATGTTATCGATAAAATGTCACCTTCAGAATTAATAATAACTTTCAGTGACAACGTGCTACCCAATTACAACACAATTTAAGAGATTTATATGATTTAATGAAACTTTCAGACAAAAATAACCTTTTCACAAAAGCAAATCTATTTCCTAGTTTAATAGAGGCCAAAATCTCGGTAAGATTTAACAACTTGGAATTTCACAAGACCCCCCCCCCCCCCCTCGTCCCCCCAAGACACGTTTATTTTAGTAACTGGATTGTAGAAAGGGACACACTCACTGCAGTTGATAACAATTGCAGATCTATTGATGGAATGGGAAATTATGTTAGTATTTTATAATCAAATATTAAAACGTGAAACGTGCAGTTTGTTTCTGAACACCTAAAGGCAGAATGAGTCTTACATGGTGTGTTAAATGTATGGTTTCGCGCTATGGCCACTTCACTGCCCCCAAGTGTCTGCAAATAAACGTTAGTAGTGAAGGAGTCATTTATCTTGGGGAATATCGCCTTGAACACTTATTGACCAGTTTGTTTTCAAACTTTGCAGACTTGTTTGATGCCCCCCCTCCCCTTTGATCTCCGCTGACTGAGGCCATTCAACGGGACAGCCCAAGGAATAGTGAGGCTGGTACCTACTCGAGTTGCTGCACTGGCAATCGCTGTCAGCCTCTGCTCGCATTGTTTATGCAATGTTTTTTTTTAAAAAAATTGAAAAGTGTTGGTAATCGGTATATTTTGCAGGTGTAGAATGTGACTAACAACCATGCACAGTTGGTGCTCTCCAATGGCGAGGGTATGACAGAGACAGCTGGCTCAGTTTTCAATCTGAAAACACCCCCTCGGTGGACCAAACACAACGACAGTGACCTTTCTGCGGGAAAACCAGAGATGTGCCTTTGACTGAATTAGCCATAAAGACGTCTTGCTATGACTTTTGTTCCGAACCAAAGCATATAAATATCGCGTTAAATATGAGAATTGTTCACAGCTTTTTTTTGGGCTCCTGGGAAATATTACAGTGCTGCTTTGGCGATTCATTTTCTTACAGAAAGTCACAAAACGTTTTGATGAACAGACGCACTATTTGAACATATTACAAATGACCTCAATGTTTTCAGCACTGAATTTATCAGACCATTCATCTGACAATACTTTTAAATGCATCATTGTCATGGACTGGGGTTTGATAGATTAGCGAGAGGCACAAAACCCCTTTCCAAGGTCAAGTTGAAGATCTTGTTTAGAGTTTTACTGGGTTTTGTTAAAGCTGCAGAATAGTATCTTTGTATCTGTGAAGCATTCTGGCAGGTCTTATGAAATGTTGAAAGTCACTCCTCATCGCACTGGGAGAATCCAGACACTTGCCGAGGGAGTTAACAACATAAATTGACAAATTAAGAAGGGAAGTTTATAACAGTTTTTGAAATTATAAATACTGTCCCCAACAAATTGGAAATGTGAAATGCGTTTTAAATCTCATCCATATATATATATATGTGTGTGTGTGTGTGTTATGTAGTAACACTGATATGGATGAGATTTAAAACGCATTTCACATTTCCAATTTGTTGGGAACAGTATTGTAACATGAGCATATATATATATATCATAGTTTGGTGGCGTTGTGAGCAATTAATGATACCTGCATTCGTTTTAAAGTTCATTACATTTATGCGAGTTCAATAGCAACAATTAGGACCTGAATATCTTCTGAGGTGGGCGCTTGACTTTGGGATGGATTAGATTCTCAGGCAAATCGGTGCTCACTCAAGACCCCAGAATGTCCAGCAGACACTTTCATCCGCAGTCGTCGGCGGAAAGTATTCCAGTGCAACAAGTTTCCATGATGTACTTAATGTGCTCGGGAGGAGGAGGAGGAGGAGGGGGGGGACATAAACTCATTACAATCTAGCGAGCTCAGGCGACCTCTTTTGTTCAGCAGCACCAAGTAGAGGCTTCGTCAGTTGCCCGCTCCTGAAGTCCAAAAGCATGCGTCATTTTTCACCAGACTCGTCTCATCCTCAAAAGACAACTATCAAAACCAGCCCTGAGCCCTTTTAGGCATGAATTACTTTGCTTTCCAACCGATCTGTTTCCCCCTATTATTTGCATTTCTCAGCAGGGTTTTTTTTATTCCCCCCCCCCTCCCCCCCTGCCCCCCCGCAAGACTAATGCAGCTGCGAGTTTATCTATGAATGCATCTTTCATCGCATGGATGAGATAGGTGAGTAGCACAGACGCGTTTCTCCTCAATAAAAACAATATTTCGATGAGAAGCTAAAGCGATCTTCTTCCTCTTTTAATTTAATAAACACCAAAGGAAACGCTTATGGGTTAAACGTTTGAATGCACTTGTTGGTATTTTTGCCATAGTTTCACCTACTCCAATCGTTTATTTGGAATATTCAGCTTGATCAATACGGTCATAAAAACATATTTATAGGTAAACAATTATGCTGATACGTTCAGGAAAAGATTCCTATGCGTAACTGTTCTAAAAGTTACTTTGTATATTATTATTGGTTTATGCACTTGGTATAAATGTCTTAATCAGTCCACACTTTAATTCACAGCTCTCGTGTGTAACTGTTCATAATGAATATGAGTGAATTATCTTTCTACTTGGTTAACCGATATATTTGACAAGATATTTATGATATGAACAAAAAGAAAATTGATGAAATCTCATTTTGTTGGGTGCAAGTTGAGGACAAAATCCACGAGCTATCATGGCTTGTTATCTCAGCCGATCATTTTGATGCATTGAGCAAGTGAGTCAAATTTTAGATTCTCGCAATACAAAAAAACGTTACTGCAATTTTGTCGAGAGAACCAGGTGTGGTAAAGAACAGTGACATTATGTAAAGAAACGAATTATTCCGAGCAAACCCTTCCCTTTCAGAGAGGGAGACACTGAGACACACATGGCTGATCAAGACGGATGTATCTTACGTATCTTGTACATTGAGAAAATTCAGTGAACTAAAAAGCTTTGCTAACATCATTCCAATAAAGTTTATTTGCAAGACGTCTACCCATGTACAGATTGCTTTGTTTCTTTTATGCAAACTTCAGTGCAAACACGTTTCCACATTGGGAATCACAGAAGCATCTCAACCCTTACACACACAAGTGCATATCGAAATGACTGAAGGTGATGGTTTAAGGGTCTCTGGTTTGGCTGAAGGTCTGCTTGTAGAGGTAGTCAGTTTGCTATGGAAGTTTTGTGGAAATGGCTGAGAGCCAGTTCTTGGAAGCGATCCAGCCCTAATTCAGATTAACTATTTTTTGTAAATGTCTGCTGCTCGGAGACCCAGCACCAGTACAACTGCTAGCAATCTATTGCTCTGGAAATCACATTACCCCAAACGGATGAGTTTGAAGCACCCAAGTTCCTAAAATCCATTTTTTTTATATACACATGTAATATAATGCTTAATTGATTTTAAAGCCGTAGTAGATGTGATCATAAATCTACCATTGCAGAATGGCAAGGTGACTAACAGGTATCGCCAAAAACACCCGTTAAGTTACAAGCAGTTCAGGACGAAATAGCAAGCTCTCTGTGGACCTATGCATTTCCTCCCTGTTTCATTTGTAGGTTAAAAAAAGTGAAACTCTCAGTAAAGAAAAAACAAAACCCGAGCTCTCGCTAAGTAAACATTGCAAAGAATTTAACAATGAATCCAATGCGACAATGAACGGTGGTGTATTAAACTAAGGCTTGAATAAATTCCCTTCACATTACAACCTCTCAGCGTTAAACACAGCACACAACTTCTGACAGTTGATTTATGAGAAAGACTGGCAAAGACAGGGCTGTATTTTACCATGACCGACACATCGGAAAAGGAAAACATTTGACCATTCAAATCCTTTAAACGTCGTTCACCTTCAACTTCAGCGAGAGACGCCATGGAAAGCACAATACGTTATGATTGGGAAAAAAAACTGGTATTGTGTATCAAAATGGAGAGTTTGCTGAGTGCAGATTCCTTCTTCTGCAACCAGCTGGCGCTGTTCGATCTGTGTGGATCACCATGTTTAACATAAACACAGTCTTGCAACGAGTTACAACCGAGAGTTCAGAGAAACAGAGATCTTTTTTAGCGTTATTGAATAGTCATATCAAGAGGACAACAAACCAGATTCATTTACAATGTCAGACAATAGTTCAGAGATTCTAGGTGTTTAACATATAGCTTTAATGTGCAGTGCCAAACAAACATACCAAAATACTTCTGGGAATTGTTCCAAAAACTCAAGTTTCTCATCATATCGACTATACAGGAATATTCTCAATGTCTAGTGTTATTACTTACTTGCCTTGAATGCTCTTAACTTTTCTACTGCACTATTTTATGTTTCTTAAGAAAGAGACGCAAATGACAATACAATTCTGTACATCTCTAACACTGTCTGCTGCAGGCAGGAACTTCTGGTATCAAGAGGAATAAAGAACCCGTAGCTCCACGAGGAACACCACGGTGACCTTTGCGCAATATTTATTATTACTTGTGCGGCACAAAATCGTACAGTATTGATTTGAGACATATATATATATTCATTGACATAAGAGCATCAGCCAACCAAATGAGTAAAATGGGATTAACTGTAACGACTGCTGAAATGTTATTCCTCCTCTTGGCGTTGTGGAGGGGAGGGAAAAGGGGCGATTTCACTAACAAGTGCTTCCTCCTGGTCACCTGAGACCTGGAATTCTGTGAATATACAAGAAATAGGCAGAAACCATCATTAGAAATTGATCATGAGGATTAAAGTAAGTTACAGCACAATGTATTCCCCAGGACGCGGACTAACGATCTTTAAAAACAAAATTGTGACTGAAAATAATGCCTTAACTATCATTTTTCTAGCATTGTACTTTTTCACTTTTAGATTGAAACTCGACCGTTGCCATCTATTTTGATTCAGTAACACTCTTTCAAAAGAAATGTTTGTTAAAATATGCTGACATTTCGTGGAATAGATCTCCATATATAGCAGATGTATACAAGTAGTTTAGATGTTTGCATTTTTTTATTGAAAATGGTCAGCACTGTATTTTGTTTTGAGTTTCGCAGAACCACTATTTTATTGGCTCGGGGCCATTGATGGTCATTACATGTTTAAACCTCACACAATCATGACACAAAGATGAGATTTATAACAATAATAATAATAATAATCCTTGCATTTGATATAGCACCTTATCACGTCTTCGAGACGTCTCAAAGTGCTTCACAGAATACACCGTAAAGTAAATTGACGGCATATTTTGTGGGTGAAACGCAGCAGTCGATTGAGCATAGTAGTGTCCCATAAACATTCGTGGATTGAAGCGACCAATTCATTTTAAGGAAATATTAGCCTGGAAAAGCAATCCACCAAACAACTAACAACTGGGTTCCTACTTACTGCTAGGTAAATAGAGGTGTGTGGAGTAAGGAAACCTGCCCAACGTTTCGCCCTGCTGGGAATCAAACCCAGGTCTCTTGCTTGTGAGGTGAATGCTCTAACCACTGAGCTACAGGATTATGAAAATAGCATCAAAGTAGAGCCTTTTTCAAACTTTCCTTTCAGGAACAAAGTGAAGGTTAATAGAAAGATTTGGGAGATTGTTGGCCAGAACACCAGAAGAAACTTCCTTCTCTTTTTGAGTAGTGCCATGGGATCCTTAACTTCCACCTGAACATGCAGACGGGACCTCAGTTTAATGAAGGCACTTCCAACAAGTGGAGGTGCCACCACCAACAATATTCCCCTCAGCAGTGTTTTGATAGGGTGACCATATGTCCCAGATTTCCAGGGGAAAGTTCCCTCATAAGGTATTGTGTCCCTGTCACCAAATTTGCCCTGTCTGGAGTTCAGCAACAAACTGAGCAAGAACAATAGCATTCTAAAACAGATACATTCATCAGAGAAATACAGCCATTAATCCAACAAGTTCCAGTATATCAGGAATTGTGGTTAGATAATTTTTCTATATGTGTCCCCAGATTTGGTTCCCAAAATATAGTCACCCTACCTTAAGACTATGTGAGTTCAAAATGCCTACATGAGGACTGAACCCACAACCTTCTGTCTCGGAGATTCATAGTATTAAAATAGAGCATTGGATATTAAAATGATTAGATTCAGATATTTAAATATTAGATACTTAGATATTAAAAAGGTTGACAAAGTGAGAAAGGCATAATTGAGAACCATCACAGACCATCAGTAACATTTTTGCTCGAGGAATATAAAAATCTCATGGTGAAATTATTCAGTATTCCAATGCTCTCCATTCTGCTCATATTATGAATAAAAAGTAAAGGAGCAAGCTAGTTTACTAGTTTAATTTGCTGTCCATTGTGTAGAGGCAGGAAGTAATTGAACTTCTTTGTGACAGCATAAGGAAACTTATACAACATTGACATGCAATTATAACAGAATACAGTAAGCATTTTTTATTAAGTATTATTTCACTGTTGAAAAATAATTATTCAGTGTTTTGGATCAACACATTCAGAATGTATACTGTGTTTATGGCACAGAATTACTTATTAAATGAAACCTGGCATCAATTCTTTTACATAAAAAGATAAGAATGCACTCCAATATTCCACAAAATGTTCATGCTGTGTGATTATATTGTAACCAAAGATACTAATCCCTGTTGAACACTACTTTATGTCTGGCACATTCCAGTACTTAACAGTGGTAGTCCAAAACTTCATGACCGCTGCAAACAAATGAAAGAGCAAGAGTGTTTTATTTCCATGCAGGAGTCAATGACAAATTCAAAAGCATATTCTTGTTTATTTCCCTTTGTATAAATAACAATACATTTGATATAGTGCACTATCAATGTTTCAATTATTTTGTTAACATCCCTTGCATTTGATATAGCACATCGTCAAGATGTCTAAAAGTGTGTCACAGCATTCTACAATGAAGTGTAGTGACTGTGTATTCTATAGGCAAACACGGCAGCCAATTTGTGCACAGCAATGTCCCACAAACAGCCATGAAGTGAGTGACCAATTTTATTTGGGACACTATTGACCAGGACATCGGGAGAAACTCCCTTTCTTTTCAAATAGTGTCACAGGATTTGGAACATCTATTTGAACAGGCAGGTGCACTAGAAAAGCTCCATGCTCTTCTTCAAAACAGATCCATGGAACCTTTAAAATCCACCTAAATCACCATAACAGGCAAACAGGACTTTTATTTATTGTCTTATCTGAAGCACTTCATACTATGCAGCATAGAGTGGGTCTTAAAACCATAACCTTTTGTCCCAGAGTCAAGACTGTTTGCTCAACCGAAAATAATTTTCACTGCTTCCACCATTCAACAACAACTTGCATTTATATAGCGTCCCTCACGCAGGGTAGGGTCCCACAGCGCTTAAATGCAGCAGATTGTGAAAGCATTATGATGCATCAGATTGATCATCATTAATATAATATTTGATCTCTAATGAGCATTTTAAGATGACATAGAAAGAGAGAATTATCCTTAGTTTGATTACAAATCACAAGTCTGGTCACAAGTCTTAATTATATTAAAAACTTTTGTGAAGTAAACAAAACAATATACAGTTTAAATAGACTTCACAGAGAGAACAGATACAGATCTAATTTAGCCCAGTCATTTTCAGGTCGCACATTAGACTTTGGAATTTGCAAATTTTGAGATTTTGTTAATTTATAGACCAAACAGGACATGATTTTATTTCCAAATATGTGCACTCTTATTTCTTTATAAAGTCCTAACACACATCTGATGTTTTAACACTATGTTTTTAGATGTCCTGATAAAGATGAACTGTCGTTTGAGAGTTTTGTCATATTTAACAGTAATGTTTTGACACACTGAATAGAAATTTGTTTGATAATGTGTCTGTGCTCCAAACAAAGTACTATTGTGAAACAGAGTACTGACTTTTTTCAGTTGAGAATTCTTACCTTCCTCACTTTCAGATTGAGAGCATCTCACTGTTCTCATTATGCTTCCCACAGTAAATTAATCTAGGATTTTCGCTTGGTTTGCACAATATGTTGGGGATTTGTTTTAATCCTGGATTTACGCGGCTCAGTTTTAGGGCAAATCCTTTCTCTGTTTTGTTCCCTAATATATACAATGACTATTAACTAATTGATATGTAGTTTGTTACTTACTCCCTTCAAGGTGCAGCTTTTGCCCTAAACACAAAATGAAAAGGTTGTTCACATGAATGGATAATAATATTGACATCTATCATACAAACTGCATGAACGTTTTTATATATTGTAAGACAATAATATTAGGCTATAAATAAAAATAAAATTACACAAAAGAAGAACTTTAGAAAATACGCATTTATACTTGTTTTTTTCCTTTACTATACATTAAATGCTTACACAGAATTTTAGTTTTCAAAGGGGTAAATTCAAACATAATGTTAGCTTCTTAGTATGGTGTATTTTTGTGAACTTTTCCACATTACAATACAGAGACACAGATTTTACCGTCCCCAATCGTTTTTTGTTGATCAAATGAGAGCAGAAACTCCCATTTGGGAGGGGCAACATGACATTTCACTTGGAAATTCTAAACAGGTCACAGACCTTTCACAGCCCCAAAGGCAGTGGGTGGGAACACTTAACTAAAGCGTGTAACCAGCTCAAGCTGCAGGTTACCCCTTTCGCTATTATTGGAATTGGAAAGCTTACAATATACTTTGTTTGAAAACAAAGAAACTTCACGTAAAGTTGTAATTATGCACTTCAACCATTTCCAAAGATACATGCCACAGAATTCATAAACCATGATATATTAATATTTGGTATAAGAGTGCCGTTTTATTCAGGTTTCAGAAAACAGTATTTTTCTAAAAGCTAAAAGCCAAAAAGAGACAACAAGGCTGCCCTAGCAATGACCTAGAGCTTTCAGATTCCTTGAACACATCAGAATTTCCATTGTTAAGTTTGATTAATTGTGACTGATAAATTGGAGTGAATCAATATATTGTCTTTATTGTGCACCATATTGCACAGCGTGCTTTATTTTGCAAAATAATGAAAAGATTTGTAAAATTGCAGTGATGAAACCTGAATTACTTTGCATTCACATGAAAAACAAAATTGGTCTTCAGCTATTTCAGCTCCATATCAGCTGAAACAAAATGCCACCGCAAATTTTATCTCTCCTAAAGTCAATTTTCTTACAAGGCACCAGTATCGCTGTGACATTGTAGTGACAATATTATCTCTAATCATTGAATAAAGTACTGTCACTGATGAACTGTTCTGAAAATTCCCATGGTTTAAGCCATACGGGCTATGAAGACTATTTGACGAAAACGACAGAACTCTTAGTTATCCAGTTCTCTGAAAAGTAAAGGCAGGAGCAATACTTGCATAAATCTGCCAATCTTTTGAGTGTCAGAGTAAGTGACTAAACTCTATTGTAATTTATCCTTGACTCTACAGAAGTTTGCAAGGAACATAAGCATGTCCTGATAGAAGTGTTTTGTGTGTGATGTTTTGGGGGGAGGGTAGGGTGAGGTGCTGAAGTGATAAATGATGTCACTGAAAGCTGCACAATGCCACAACTTCACAATGGCACTGCACATGCATAAAATCAAAACGGCTTCTGAGAAATCCATTATTCCTCCCTTACAATAGGCCTGAAACTGTTTTACAAGCACTCCCAGTGTTTTTATTCACACACGCTCCTAATAACATCCCACAACTTTAAGTGTATTTACAACCTTAAATGTCATATGCAGCTTGAAAACTGCAGCGCTGGACAGGGCTCAGATGTTGCTGCAATTACCTAAAATACATAATCCAGTTTGGGCGTGTACAGCAGACAGCACAAGCTTGACGCCACACAGAACTGCATAATTAACACTATTCTGCTCGTATTTATGCTAGCTCATGCAGCTAACTTTGAGTTCCAATATTTGAATAATTCTGGAAATATTTCTGTGCAACCATAAAATTAAGAACATCAATCATTCCTACAGAAAATTCCTGTTGGTAGAGTCATGCAAGCAGTTAATACTCATAATGCTGGTAACATAAATGTAAGAATGTTTGCAACTTGCTGTGTTGTGTTGTCTAAAATTTGTCTTTTTAAAATAGATTAGGAAGATGGATTTTTTAAGAAAAAAATTCCACCTCTTAAACTGTATGGATATTCATGTTGCATTCTTTGGACATGGAATCACCCAAATGACTGGTTCAGTTACCATCTGAGATGCGCCTACAGTTTTTTGCTTTGGCTGCTGATTTCCTAAGACATTCAGATATTAATTCAGTCAGTATTTATTACATTTTAGCCTGAAAATGTTGGACCATTTTAGTGAATTGACCAATAGTTTATATAGGAGTTCCTTCTAAACAGCAAAACATGTTTCAGTGATTATCAGGCTGATATATGTGCATTGCTTCTTAACAATCTTGTTGCAATGAAATCACGTTGATCTGGAGAAAACCTATGTGGATGTAATTATCTGCAATAATATCTATGAAGTGAAGGTTCTAAGAGAAGGACTTAGTTCCTGATCTTGTAAATGCTGGTTGTTGGTCAGCATCAGGGTAATATCATAATGTGTGGAGTGTTACAAGAATTCTCTAGGAAATTGGGAACTGTCAATGAATATGCTTAGTCACAATCCCCACTTTCTCCTCTGGACATGGATGTGCCACAGATTGGTGCAGCCGTGACAACCTTTTACTTTTGATTGGTTTCAAAAGTGCATTTTACAAAATAGAGAAAGGCAGCTGGAAGGAAGCAAGAAGCAGAAAGGCTCACATAGTTACAAAAGGTTAAGTGAGTTCGGAATTAGGTAGAATACATTAGAAATGGAAAAAAAAGTTAAAATCATGAACTTGAGGAGAATAGGGAGGAAATAGAATAGGAAAAGGGAAATCGAGAGAAAAACTGATAACAGATTGGTCAGACTTGGTCAAGGTTTACAAATGTTTATGTTCATTCAATGTTTTTTGTATTGATTTCAGTGGGTTAGGTTAATATTAAAGTAATACAGTATATTGATCCTTGATCTTTAGTACCTTGTACTGTTTTATTTAACATCACAGTGAATGAATTGAAAATTTTGGCTCATGAAGATAGGTTTCCATAAATCTGATGCTTGTCTAAAGGTAAAGCTCTGAGAAATGTAATGCTATTTTCTTGCAAATGCAAGTTTTTTATAACGCAAGGTATTCCTATATAGTTTCCTGTGAACCTTCAACTTACTGTCTAGGGCACTGACATCAGCCCTATTCGGCAGCAACCTGGAGTGCTAAATGACATCTGGTCTCTTTACCCACATGATGTATCACTTAGTAGGTGGTCAAAACAGTCTTTCTAGGTCATCCAGAGTTTCACACAACTGTGTGACACCAGTCTGCTACTACTAGATACTGTGGTTTACAGATTGAATCTGGATCACATGCTGAGTTATTTCTTGACTGCTCCCAAACATTTACGTAGCACCACACTGTTTTATATTTTTTGTGCCAGACTTCTAGGATATTTAACTGAATTCAGCTTGTACGTCTATAGCAAACTGGGCCCTTGAGGCAGAAATTCTAGTAGAATTGTGGAAAATTTAAGATTGTGCAGAGTTATAGAAATCCTTAAATTTAGTTTGGAAGCCAATAGGCTTCCAAACTAAATTAAAGGATTTTACAATTCTGCTTCAGATTGGGTGAAAATTGTTTTTTGTAGTGTATTAAATTGTCCAAATATTTCTGGTAACAAACTCCAGAATTTTACACCACATAATACCTCCAGTTCATAATTAACTCAGTGTACATTATACATCACTGAAGGGTTCCTGAAGGCTCTATGATGACAATATCACTGAGCACAGAAGTGCTTGAAATACATGCCCTCAACTAGAGCGCACTTGCTGATTCCCATGGCACCCGTTCTTGACACACTCAGCTAATTTCTAAAAAAGAGTATACGTTCAGAATGCCTACATTTGCAATTGTGGCACATGCCAGAAATATTTTGAAGGTACTCTCAATAAGGAGATGAGTGTTATCTAGTGGTACTATAATATTTGAAGGATTGAGGATAGTTTAGCTAATAATAATCAATGGACTTAATTGCAATTTTATCTTCATCATCAGAAGAGATTAACTGTCATCATTGATTTTACTTGACCTACCTTGATTTTCTAATTTAGTTGGCAATAATGGGTTTGAAAATAGAATATTCTCTACTTGGATTTAGTAATAGCAACTCTTATCAGTAATCACAAGAGTGCCACACCAATTGTAAGGACTCCACTCTGGAAGTACATTGAATCATAAATGCTGAGGTTAGGTACTGCACAACATATGACAACCTTAAAATGGTGTTGCTTCTGATCAGAGGGTCCATTATGGTTTCTTGTAAATTATTGCAAACAAGGTAAAATAATCTTTGTTCTGGGAGATATTGCCCCAATGATTGAAAATTATTTTAAAGTAATACTACAAGGTATCCAGATGTGACCCAGGCAATCCTGCTGGAACTCTGCATAGTTACAAGTGCCCCCAGATGCTCTGAACCTCCTTTGGCTGCAATCTAGTTTCACACTCAGATCGCAGTCTCAGTTGAGTTCCAGAAGCACATGCCTTGTAGGATATACTATTGTCAAATCTTGAGAATCTTACAAATTAGACCCCTGAATCGATGGGTTGGGCCAGGGGGAGTCATTTATGTCTATGTTACTTAGTTTGATTATTGATCATATAAACAACATGCTGCAGCTTCTTCATGTTTTACCTCTTTGTTACAGTGGGTGAAAGGGGCTTTCCAATGTAGAAGGTTTACAGTTATCTTGGCAGATAATCTGTCCAATTTGAACAGTATACCAAATTCCACTTTATTCAAAAAATTAAGGGTTTTAATCTAATCCCTTGTGGAGAGTGGCAAAGCAAAATGATCATCGAATACTACTTGAAGTGTAACCTTGAGCAATTATTTGCAATTGCTGATTTTTCAGGCTGGTGTTTATGTGGAAATAAGGGCAAACTGCCTTGATAACCACCAACCAATGGAATTTCCTTAATTACTGTACTTCATTTCAATAATATTTAAAATGAAGAATATTTTTTGTAAAGTATGTTCAAAACTATTGTTTTTAACCATTACAATGTATGACAGCAATCTGGATGCATAGTGCTTGCAGACTGGGTTTTACTCTGGGACCTGG